GGATTTACAAGCTATTTCCTTTATCCTTCCACATTGAGAAATATCTCCCATTCAACACAATTCTTTTTAGCTGTCATTACAAGGTTTTGATAACTAAATACTCAAAAAAACCCATTATGCTTTGGCAATGTAAACATAGAAATTATCTTATTTTCTTAATCTGCAAGAAAAATTCTACTTGTTATTAAATAAAATTCTTAATCCCTTAAATGACAGTCCTCAGTCAAAATAGCTTTCGTTTTCTTTCATAAAGACAGAGCCTTAACATTCTTCTAGTAACCAGAATTTCCCAAAATTACTTTAAACCAATGAAAAAAATTAAAAGTTTTTAATTTTAGTCTATTAAAGCAAGTGAGGAAAATAATCAATTCCTCTGATTTCCAATGATGGTGATACATATGTGCATTGTTTCTTTTGAGAGAGAGATGCATTAGGACTCACCAAGCAGTGCATAAGGGCTATTCCTGAATCTGTGCTCAGGGGTGTTCCTGGTGGTATTCAAAGAGCCAGGGATTCAAACTGAGTTGGTGACATGGGAAGCAAATGCCTTAAGTCTGTGCTATCTGTCTATCTTAGCTACCTTACTTAAGTCTTTAGAAATAATGTTCCCTGATAAAGCTAGAGTAGTACAAACTTAACTGAAAAATGCTAATCAAAAATATGATTGAAAAATATTTTATCAACATTTACTTACAGGTTACATATATATATATGCACACAGTCATAGATAAACAGAAATTTCAATTTTTATACTGTGTTTTGATTGAGCCAACTATCAAAGAGTAAAGTTCTTCCAAAAGTAATGTTTTCTTTTACAACATAAAATCACATTTTTGATGATTCTGTTTACAGATATCTATCAAGAATAGTCTCACACTGTTGTATAAAGCAGTGCTTACTAACACTGCTACAGAGAAAATACCAGGCTTACTATTACATTAAACAGGCAGAAAATTCAAGTTATTTTTGAAGATGATCAGAATCAAAATGACAGTTCTAAAAAGGAATGTTTTTTAAAAATATTAAAAAGCTTCTGTAGGCTTTGATAGGCTCTTATTTTAAAATATAAAGGTGTAGGTTAGGCCCTACCAAGAAGAAACTGACAGCAGAATGTGGTAGCTGGCAGCGACTGCAGACTTTCATTATGTACTCCTTCCCTATCATCATCCTCTGCCTTTATTGATTGGCTCACCCAGTCTAGTTTGAATCTTGTCCAGATAGCAGTGAATGGTGGGTATGTCAAATATAGGATTGTGTTTAGGTCCATCTGGCACCATTTTAAAAGTAATTCTGTTGGAATTTTAAAGAACAGAGATTGGTAGGCACTATCACTTTTGTCATCTTTCTTTCCTCGCTTTTTTTTTTATTAGACCATGTCTACAGACAGCAACTAGTTTTGTTTTGAACAGATGTCCAGGACTGACTTGTTTTGGCTTTGTATTAGGAATGCTCCATCTTTATGAGTTTGGCAAATCCCTTATCCTCTTTGAACCTCAGGTTTCCTAGGGGAAAAAAGTGAAAAATGAAAATGATAATACTACTCTTGTCTAACTCAAAGCATTGCAAGGAAGGTCCAGTGATATCCTATAAAATGAGGCCTTTGAAATCTACATAGAGCAACACAAATGTTTCATTTTATTCGTATGGTCTCAGAAGACTTCTCTGCATTAAACAATACAGAAGGCTTGGCCTCTTGCAGAACAGTGGTTTCAGATCAAGGTTGCTGGCTTGCCCGTCAAAGACCTTGCAAGGATTTCCTGTGTGTTTCCTTCTTGATCTCATTACCATGCTGAGGTCCAGAAAAACAGCATATTCAGGGCTCATTGCAGAGGGCCAGTACCCACAACAATTCAAGCAGAAGACCAATGGCACCATTCCTGGCACGTAGGAGCATGCTCACATTTTCTTGAAGTGAGAACAAGGATTTAATGATGCTGTCATTGATGTATGTCAGTCCTATAGACAGCATCCATAGGTATCTAACCTTTTATGCAAATACATTCAAATATGGGCATGTGGTTAAGTCAGTCTGACACAGAATTTAAAAAGTAAATTCTGCTTGATCTGCTTGCATGAGCAAGTTACATAACCTCTCTGTGCCTTACTAGGTCTTATCATCTTTAAAGTGGAAGAAGTAATAATGCGCATCTAATGGGGTTGTTAAAAGGTTTAAATGAAACAATAAAGCGCTTAAAACACTGTGCAATATAGTAAAATCTCAATAGATGTTATCAACGATTAGTTCTATTATTTATTTTCTTAACTACACATCCTTTGGAAGTAAGAACTTTTGTTCAGTAATAGATATGTTTTGAGATGCATAGATTATTTTTTAAGTAAAGAATGTTCAAAAGGAATATTTTCTTTGGTTTAAATGGTTGAATATAATATAGGGTTTTAGCCTAAATGAGTGGGAAGTGGCACCAAATCTCTAGTAATAGAATTGGTGCAGAGACTGTAAAACCCAGGAGAACAGTAAAATACATTTTAAATGACAACATTGGTTTTACACAGGGCCCATAAAACAGTTCCACATGCAGTTCCTGCCAGGCTTATTTTCTATCACTTCCTAAAATTGGCTGGTAAGCAAGGACAGCATCTGGAAAAATAGTTAAAACAGTGTCTAATTAATTTCAAAATATTTTTGTTAAAAGTATAGTAATTAAATAGTACAATTCTGAGAGGATAAAAGGAAGCCACTATTTGGGCAAAACAAGCATTGCATTCTCAGACATTGCCTGGGGAGGCACTGAGCCTTTTTAAGGGGATTTAACTTAACTATTTCTTATTTGATTTTTTTATTTTGGAACTAAGAGAACCAAGAAAAGTATCTAATTAACATGAGACACACTTTTCTTGTTTCTATGATTAAATACATATCAACAGTTTATTCTAATATTCTTGCTAAAACAAAAATTATGCTCAGTTTTTCTAGAATTGGGTGCATTCTATATTGATTCCATTTGGCTGTTTAACTATTTAAAGAGCCAGTACAAGAAATCCAAACTTAGAAGTGTTAATTTCTGAATTGTAACTTTTAAATAATCTTGACTATACTGTGTCATCTCAGGAAGTCACTGAATATCTCTGTACATCTTTGACTAAATTCTAGGTTTTTTTTAATTTGTTAAGCAAAACTTATCTGTATTACATGCTATGATTTAAAACATGTTACAGATTCCTCTTCGTCACTATTTTCCTCACTAGCTTTCCAATATTGTACCAGTCATTAGGACTCTAATCACAGTTCAATTCTGTAGAATAGTACTTGAGCTGTTCAAATAAGGAATGTATATATATGTATATATTTTTTCACACATATATACACATGCATACATACTTACATATTAAGATATTTGAAGGAAGTCACTGCTGTCTTCCAAATGTGCCCCCAAAAAGGAGCTATAGTGGTAGTGCTGTCCACTTTTGGATTATACCAACATGTTATATAGAACATATCTAAAGTCTTCTCTTCCAGCTAATGATCAGGAACTCCCTAGGAGGGCATAAATGCATAGTCACAGCTGAGAGAGAGAAGGAAATGTACTGTGGTGGGTATTATGAGCATTAAGGCCAATACTTTATGTAGCTGACTATGGTTTTCAGAGCCTACTCAAGCCGAATCAATCATACATATTCCACTTCCACTCGATGAGTAGAGCTGCTGTATACACCCAACAGTATAGCTTGAAAGGTCATATCACCAGTTTATTATGGGTAACTAATCACTTGGTGACTTGGTGACCCAACTTACTCTCTACAAAGGCCCAATCCCCAGAAAAGGGCTATTAATCATGCAATGGATGGTCAAGCTTTGCCCAAAGTCATGAATTTGCACTGTGGTTCAGCTATGGGCTTACCAAAGACTCATACATGTCTATCTGCCACTACCCCTTCCATTAGATTTGCTGAACCAGGTCACCCGAGCCACAGCTGAGCTTGTCCAGAAATCTGGACGAGTGGTCAAGTGCCACTCTAAGTGCCAATCCTGCATCTTCTAAAGCCACTCAGTAAATGGGTCAGAGAAACACCAAAGGAGAACTTATGTTTCCTTGTTTGTAAAAGTGATCAATTGAAGGAATTCATTCTTTATTTCAAAAGAGATACCCTAGAGACAGTAGTAGAGGTGTACTGACACCCAGATTTTGGGTGTGATGTAGCAACATTGTATTCGTGAACATTAACACTATAGTAAATCATGGCTCCTAAATTCAGAAGATTAAATAAGAAAACAAATCAATGCATACAGAAATAAAAGAGATATCTGAACATGCTCTTCACTACTGGACCCCTGGACAAGTCCCCAAGATAGAAGACCAGAATTTTTATTACATTTGTTTTTTATCCCCCTGATGTAAAAGTATTAAATCTAAAGTAGTTTCACTCTTTTTAGGTGCTATCTACTATTCTTATCTCCCAGTTCACAAGTAAGAAAACAGAGAGATAGTATCACATGGTACCATGCTGGAATCCCAACCCACTTTGAGATACCAATAAAAAGAAAATCCATTCCAAGCAGCATGGGCACAGGGAGGAGTCCAAATAGGAAAAACACCATGGCACTCTTTGTGCACTGCACTTACCTAATTAGAGGAGGGATGTATTGGTTAGAACACTTGATAGTGTCTGAATCAAGAGGCAAACAAGAGAGATTAGTCTCTAATGTTTAGCTTGGCTCAGAGAAGTTGTCAGTAAGGATAACTGACCTGTCAATAAAAAAACTGTGAAGGGTAAAAAAGAAATGAAATAATTTTTCTAATCTCCATGTTTAAGAGAAACACTGTCACTGTCACTGTCCTCCCGTTGTTCATTGATTTGCTTGAGCGGGTCCAGTAACATTGTCAGACTGTTACTGTGTTTGGCATATGGAATACCTCACCGGTAGTTTTGCCGTGTGGGCGAGATCTTCTTGGTAGCTTGCCCGGCTCTCCGAGAGGGCCGGAGGAATCAAACTCTGGTCAGCCGTGTCGGCTGCATGCAAAGCAAATGCCCTATCCACTGTGCCATCGCTCCGGCAGCACGTATACTGAAGTTGGACCGATACAGAGAAGATTAGCATGGCCCCTGTGCAAGGATGACATTCAAAGAGAAACACAGCATTCCAATATTCCTATTTCCAAGATTGAAATTGACAGTATTGTAAATAACAGAACCTCAATCAACAAAAAAATTTTTGAGCTATTATTTATATAGTAATAGTTTTTTTTAAAAAAAAATTGTTCATTGGGACGTTTTGCTATTTACAATAAAGTCAATGATTTTACATGTACATAATTTCAAAACCACACCATCACCAGTGTACCCACCTCCCTTTCCCAAAGATCCCAGTTCAGAACTGCCCACTCCCACCAACCTCAGTTCTGTGGACCAATTTTTCCACTGGAAAAATTGGCCCTTGTTGCTATTTGCTGTGTATTTTTAGAGACAGATATGAGACAGATCATTTTGTACTGAACCCTTCCTTCTGTCTGACTTTATTTGACATGATATCCTTTAGTTCCATCTATGTAATGGCAACTTGCATATTTTTTTCTTAGACCTGCATAGTATTTATTATGTATATATACCACAACTTCTTCATTCATTCATCTGTGGTTGGGCATTTGGGTTCTTTTCATATATTGGCTATTATACTACGTGAAGTGATGAACATAAATGTGCACATATTTTGGTAAAAAACAGTTGTGATCATGTTTTTTTTGTTTGGGGGACCATACCTGGAAGAGCTTAGAGTTTACCTCTGGCTCTATGCTCAGGGATCACTTTTGGTGGTACTTAAGGGACCATATGTGATACCAGGGATTGAATTCTGGTTATCTGTCTTCAGGGTAACTGCCCTGCCCAGTGTACTATCTCTTTGGCCCCATCAAAACGGGTTTTTATTCCCAGTTTCTTCACCCATGATCTCCAGAATTTTTAATTTCTCTGAGTCTTAGTTAACACATTTGTAAGCTAATGTTTATAGCAGCATCTTAGACTGTTATCCTTATAATGTAATAAAATGTGTCTAGTATTATCCTGGTGCTTGAATAAAGGGTATAATGAATAGGTAGGAAGATGGATGGATAAATGAAAGGAAGGAAAACAAAGGATCAAAATAAAATAGTGAAAGTTCCAAAAGTGTAAATGTGTGAAGCTAGGAGTAACCAAAATTGAGAAATTTTATGAATTTTCAGAAAGGATAGCACCTCTCCAAAAGCTACTAGTGGTTTGTTTGAAAGTATTTTAATGACTGTATGATATGTTTGGACTCTGAAGATTTACTATAAAAATATGTTTTGACCTCCCAGTGGTTCTCAGGAAGTCCATAGAGCCCTACAATTGATTCTCATCAAACCACGTCATCGGGTTAGTGGAAGTACCCAAGGATGCAATACTGCTTTGACCATACAGTACCAGGGATACCCCAGATATCATGGTGATGTTTGGGGCCTACAAGGTTGATTCTAGCAATCATCAGGGCTTTATATGCTACCAGGAATCAAACTGAGGTTGGGTTCATGCCAGGCTTGTACCATAACTGCTATGCTATCTCCTAGCCCTGAGATAATTTCTTCCTTTGGAGGGTGGAGGGGCATGGGGGGAGGGAGTTGGACCATACTTGGTAGTGCTCAGGAATCACTCCAAAAGGCATTTAGAGGATCATATGTGGTGGTGGACACTGAACCAGGATCGGCCGCATGCAAAGCAAGCACTGTGGTCCTGTATTACTCCTTTGATACTAAATTTTAAAGCCTAAGAAGAGCTCTTGAGTAAAGTTGCACAGACCCCTGTGCTTATATCTAAACCTTCACACCTTATAACTGATAGATCATATAATTGTGGGCCAATACAGGAAGGAGGAGTGTTGAGATGTATGGTGATACTCCTTTGCTTAGAGAGATTGACTTTTCATTTTTGTCACTGCCATTTCAAATTATTCTTTCTCCTCCTCCACAGACTATTTTTGAGAATCCAAATATTGTAAATTAACTTGCCACATTAAACATAGTTTTCTTGTTCCATAATTTTTATATCAGTGTTTTCTCATGCTACACTCAACTCTCATGTTGATTGATTGAGATCAATGATTGAGAGGTAGAATTGGAATAATTCATTTGGAAACAAATATTCAAATAATTTTTATATCATTTCTAATAAATTTCTTTACTTTTATATAGAATCTAAAAAAATTAAACTCATAACAGAATGGTAGGGTGAGTACCGGGGTCTAGGAGAGGGAGGAAAATGGGATGAGAAATGGTTAAAAGATACAGATTTTTTTATTTAGATGAATAAATGCCAGAGACCTAATATACAGCTGGTGACTATTGTTAATTATTAACATGCCATAAATTCTAAGGAAATAGATCTCGAGGGTTTTCAACAACACACACACACACAAACACACATACAGGCCACCACGACCACACTACCAACAACAAAAACAATACAATGTGAGGATATCTGTCATTTAACTTGTGTTTGGTCATTATTTCACAACTATGCAACCATAAATATATTCTTTTCTCAATCATATTTCAGTAAAACTGGGAGGAAGAAATAAGTAGTAAATGATAATAGTCTGAGAGCACTTTTCAAGATGGAAACTCCATAGATCATTCAGCTTAGGAAAGATTTGGTTTAAAAACAGCTTGAATCATCCAAGAATTTGAAGAACAAAAGCTCCACTGCTTTGAAGTCTGGTCATTTCTTATGATTGAAAATGGCTTTCAATGTCTTTTAATTTTTGAGGAAGGGAGACAGGAGGGGAGGGAAGGAAGGAAGGGAAGATCAAAAACCCAAGCAATAGTACAATGGGTAGTGCATTTGTTTTGCACTCATTTTACCTGGATTAGGTCTCCAGCATCCCATGTGGTTCCCTGAGCATCGTCAGGAGTGAACCTTGAGCATGGAGCCAGGAGTTAGCCCTAAGCTCTGCTGGACATGGACAAGAGAGAGAGAGAGAGAGAGAGAGAGAGAGAGAGACAGAGACAGAGACAGAGACAGAGACAGAGAGACAGAGAGAGAGAGTGAGAGAGTTCCAGATTTAGGATTATCTTGAAAGTGCCTCTTTTGAAATTACCTCTTTAGAACCAGTAGGGATTCTAAAATTATTCTTGAAGAAAGGTGATAATTAAGAGTAATTAATTCATCTTACCTTGCAGTTCCATCCCCACACCAACCTACCCACCCTGTCCTCATCTACAAACACTGTTTACCTTGGTAACTGCAACTTTCAGAAGTTGGCTAAATCATTTCTTTTGTGAAGTATCCTGAATCCTGAACCACTCTGCCACTCAAGCTAGGTGAGAGTTGTCAAGGTAAAGATGTGCTGGGAAAGTGAAACAGGCAAAAAAGGTTTTAATCAGGATTACTGCAATTCTGTTCAGAGAAAAAAAATAGCAGGAGAGGTTTAAGCTGTGGGATATGTTGGTGGAAAAGTACTGGAAGACTTTAGAGAGAAAGTTGGTCAGTGTGACTAGGTCATCTGTGTTTCCTAATTGGCATGAGAGAGAGAGAGAGAGAGAGAGAGAGTGTGTGTGAGAGAGAGAGAGAGAGAGCCATCAACAGACAGGTAATTTTCCTTAATTGATTTCAGAGATGGCTCTTGGATCTTGAAAAAAATTATTCCTGGGTCATAAAACTGGCAAGACCTGGGGAAAGACTTGTATCTCATAAGTGGAAGGAAAGAACTTATCACTATGCGTTTTCTAAATTACTTGTTCAAAGTGAATCAAAAGCTTATAATCAGAAGTTAGTCAGGGTGACCTAAGTTAGTCAGGTTAGGGAAAGCATAAAGGACATCTTGGTTTGATCAGGATTCTATTATTTTAGTGTATGCTTTCACGACACACCCATAAACAGTTTTTCCAGTTATTTAATTAGACTTCTGAAAGTCTTATTGTGAATTTTACAAGCTGCAGGAGAGCTCTGAGTGAGAATAATCTCTCTCAAATGTGGGATATAAAGTAATATAGTAAGGAAATTTAAAAAATGGTCTAAAACAACAGAACTGAGAACTGGTTTATAGAACTGAGTTAACCAAGGGAGGGGGCTGACAGAGTTTGTTGGAGAGGGTGACCCTGAGCTAGTGATAGAGGTAAGCAAGCAACACTCAGGTGGAGGATGTAATGTTGGAACGTTATATGCATGAAACCCTACCTTCACAGCATTACAAATCACAGTACTGCAAATAAAATAAGGAAGAGAAAGAGATCTTGGGTAAGAATCTCAGTGATGCCTATATCTTTGCTTCAATGTAATTAAATTGATATTGAACTTATTTAATATGTTTATTTGTCCAAGGACAGTATCTATTTTGTTTCTCACTGTGTTTTAGAACAGTATATATATATATATATATATATATATATATATATATAGTATTTGACACATAGTAGACACTCATTAAAATATTTTTGTGAAAAGGATGTCATTCTAAACGAATCTAGTTTCTTTATAATTCCTCACTGTTCTTGGGGCTGGAGCAATAGCACAGCGGGTAGGGTGTTTGCCTTGCATGCAGCCGACCCGGGTTCAATTCCCAGCATCCCATATGGTCCCCTGAGCACTGCCAGGGATAATTCCTGAGTGCAGAGCCAGGAGTAACCCCTGTGCATTGCCAGAGGTGACCCAAAAAGCAAAACTAAAAAAAAAAATTCCTCACTGTTCTTGCTATCACAGGGTTAAATATTCACATGAATCTGCAGTAAAAGAGGATTTTCTTGATTAATTTATAAATATTATTATGACCACAGCATTGTCCTATTGAGATAGCAGTTTTATCTGTTATCAGATAACAGATGAATGTTTGCCTGCATTTTTCTTGAAAAGTCAAGAAAATACAATATACCAAAATAAATGGCATGTTCTCTTTTAAAAGTTACTTGAAAACATATTAATGTCATTTTTCTCTCAAGAATACTTCCCCATAGCAAATAAAAGCATTTACAATCATTCTATTGATCCACCTGTCACCAGGATGATGAGATGCTGGACTGGGGCCCTGCTGTCCCTTGTTTTGTTTTGTTTTGTTGTCTTTGTCAGAGAAAGAATTTAAGGACAAGACGGCATAGATAATAGCAAATCAAGACTTGTTAGTATAGCTTGGTATTTTCAAGGGAGAGA